AATCATTCACAGAATACTTGGAACCTCTACAGTCTTTCCACTGACTTATGAAGGTCTAGTCTACATGTCCTGCTAGTTTCAATCTTAATGGAGAAAATATAGCTGTAGAAAAAGAGCCTTAAACTTGGTCATAATCAGGCGGCCTAAAATCCTTGATTTACAAGAGTTCTTCTTATTTTACCAAAAACAGATAGAGCCAACTCTCCTCTTTGCTATTACTAAGAATGAGCTTTATCCGTACCTTTGCTTTGGAGATGCACCTTTACTTGCACAGTCACCATTTTCATTTCTTAGCCATGAAGCAACTTTGATTTTTGTACAAATCATTCACAGGGGTGCTAGACCTTTGCCAAAGGGTCTGGTACTGTACTTACCTTTGCTTAATACAATGTGATGGCCCTGTGGTGCTGGGTCTTATTTTATTCAGGTAAATTTCCCCTCAAAGTTGATGTGTTCTTCCAGATTTCATCTAATTAAGAGCCTACAACTACACGTGTTTCAAATTTTGAATGATTTTAATTATATTCATAACCAAATTGACAATGAATTTAATTATATCAGTGATGTAACAGGAAGTAAAACCAGAAAAGATCCTTACACAAAAATGTACCTTCTGACATTCTACTCTTAGTAGCTAAGACTCCAAAATGGCGGCAGGAAATTTTTACTGTATTTACGGTATCATATCACAATGAATAATAGATCTACTCAAAAATTCTATGAATATACTTAGTGCCAACTATCTATAGGGCCGGACAGCGCAGCCCACATATCTGTGCGCACAGTAATGGAATCTTTAGAGGATAGTGTAGACTCGTTAGAACATGAACGAGGGGACCAGTGTTGGGATGCGTTTACATACAAAGATCATGATGAAGCTGTTCGCCTACTATTATTAGTGGAAGAACCAAACTTGGTTAAAAGAACCTATTACTGTGATAATACTAGTTTACTTCATTTGTCTTCAAGGAATGGTTGGTTAGAAATTACAAAAGATCTTATCACTAAATACCATTGCGATCCACAAGAAAAGGATTCTGTTGGTTGGACTTGTCTTCATTATGCTGCAGTGGGCAATCATGTTGATGTGATGCAATACATCATTAATGAATGTTACTGTGATCCTATGGTTACTGATGTGTTTGGAGACACCATTCTTCACATAGCAGCTGGTAGTCGATCACTTGATGTCATGAAGTACCTGATTAATCACCAAGTGAGTAATCTGATAGCCACTAATAGGTGTGGTGAATCTATTCTTCACTATGCTGCCGAACATATTGATATAGTGAAGTATCTCATCAATAATTGCAACTGTGATCCAGTGGCTATAAGCTCTAACAAAAGGACAATACTTCATTCTGCGGCTGGTAAAAATTCACCTGATGTAATCAACTATCTAATTAATGAATTGCACTTTGATCCAATGGCTATTGACAAAAGTGGGTGGACACCTCTTCATGTTGCTGCTGACTATGGCCATTCTCTAGCTGTTGAATGCTTACTATCAACTGGTAAATGTGATCCATTAGCTAAAGATAATCAGGGGAGAACACCATTACAGCTGGCTAAGCAGTGGATTGGCACTAATAAATCTACTCTTCCTATCTTTAAGAAGTTTGGTGATATTAAATCATTCCATCCAATTGATTCTTATGTTAACGTCCTCCTTGTAGGATATCCTGGAGCTGGTAAAAGTACTCTTAGTCATGTCATCAATGAAACAGCTACTGGTTCTATTGTTCTTGGTTCCTTTAGAAATGTTGGAGGGGTAGTGCCCTGTACTGCTGGTATCATTCCTTATAAACTACAACACAGGACACTGGGTAACATCATTCTTCATGATTTTGCTGGTCATTCAGAATACTACTCAAGTCACAGTGCTGTCATTGAGAATCTGTTACAAGGTTCTGGTGGTGTGTTCCTGATAGTAGTCAATATATTAGAAAAGGAAATGAAACAGCTTCATCAGTGGCTAAAAATTGTGAGAAATGAAGCACAGAAAACTCTTAATCAATGCCATGTTATTGTAATAGTCAGTCATGTGGATGAGATAGGTAATCTTTTTGAAAGGAGAAGGAGAAAGGAAGAAATACAGGAGATTATAGTAAGGGAAAGGTGTGATAGTGTCTTCTTAGATTGTCGTAAGCTTGGTGGGAGTGGTGTGGATACCTTCTTTAAAAAACTGTCTAGTGCTTGTGAGTCCATTCGTAGTACAAGTGGAAGGAATTTGAGTCTTTATTGTCACATGATGTATGGTCTACTAGAGGAAAGGAAGGAAAATATATCGACCCTCTCTGATATAATGTCTGCTACTAAAGACAATAATGATTATAATTTATCAGATAAGAAAGAAGATGTCTTGGATGCTCTTTGTTCATTACAGTTAACTGGTTTGATTAGTGTTCTTAAAAGTGAAGACAAGGTATGGGTTGTTGTGAATAAGGGTATACTGCTAACTGAGGTGAATGGGATTCTCTTTGCTCCAGAGACATTCAAAGAACATGTTGACATTGCTAGCAATACTGGTATTGTTAGTGTGTCTGGTCTGACTAGACTCTTTCCTAAATATGATGCTGACATGTTAATCTGTTTCCTCAAGAACATGGAACTATGTCAAAAAATAAATCCATCTTTCCTAAGAATGACAAACCTCCATCAGTTAGCAGTAGAAGAGGAGGGGACAGAAACAAGAGAAGAAAGGTTGTTGTTCTTTCCATGTCTTTTGTCTAGAGATAGACCTGATGAGATGACTAGTCAAGTGTACCAGTTTGGTTGGTATCTACAGTGTGAACATGATTTCTTTCCTCCTCGATACTTTCATGTCCTCTCATTGCATCTTGCTTACAAAATGGCTCTCGCTATAGAAGATAGCAGGTTAAATCGTTATTGTACATTTTGGAAGAATGGGCTTTATTGGTTTAATGGTCATGGTGTAGGATCGCTGGTAGAGATTGTGGATGAGAGCCAGTGTGTACTAGTAATGATGTCCTGTGAGAAAGGTTACAGTGACAATATGGTGTCTCTAAGAAGAGATGTGATAGGAGAGGTAATGAGTGTTTATAAAGAATCCTGTCCCAGTCTAGAGGTAAAAGAGTTAGTTATTGATCCTAAAGAACTAGCCTATCCTGTGAATACACCAAGAGAAAGGACAGTGTATAGTGTAAAAGCTGTACTCTCAGCAATAGTTGAACAACGACCATTTCTTGTTACCGCTGGTACTGGACATCCAGAATTAAAGAAGATCCTACCTGATGAATCATTATCAGATATTAGTAACCTGTCACTATTAGGAGGAAGAAGTATTGAAGTAAGATTTAACACTACAGTCTATTATCTTTAGCACACTTTAAAGTTTTCATTGTCAGTTGTAATTATATGGCTTATTGTACTATTGCAGGAAATGATTAAAATAACTGAAGAATTCTTCACAGAAACTATAAAACTAGGTAAAATAGGTCATCAAGTAGCTAGTAAAGGTAAAGGCTATTATCATTTGTGTTATTTATAGATATTAAAGATCTTGATATTGTGATTGAAGAGCTAACAATACTGAATCATTTACCTTGCCATACATGGCA